CCCAAATATGATCCAAGACGTCCCCATGCTTCTTACCACTACACTAGCTAATTTATTAGTAAGAATACTGCGAACCTTCGCTGTGCATTTCAATTGTATTCTTGGACAATGAACTTGTTTGTCTCTCTCCACCCAGGAGTATAAATGTGTACCGCGGTTCACTACTACTGGGGAGGAAAAAGGCGTCGTGGAAAGGAACTGGCCACCCTCCACACAATACCAAAGCTTGACGATGGTCTAACAGCTCATTCCCCATAACGTGCAAATAAAAACGTGACTACCTTTACCTTACTGCAAGTGAATAGGAACTATATTATTAATTATATTTTGTTAAATTAGTTTTGTTTCTTTCAATTGGAAGCTAATAACTTAATTAAATATACAAAATAAGCAATACAATAGATCTGTTGCAGGCCTTGAGATGGGTACTTGAACCACTCGCTATTTGTATACTTCACTCGTGTCCTTGGACAAGGCACTTAACCACAGTTGTTTCGTTCGGCCCAGGAGCATAAGTGGGTACCGGCTGGTATACTGTAGGCTCGAATGTTAATACGCTTATTTGCCGCAATATTAGGCTTATTATGGTATTTTCTTCCAGGTGTTTGATCAAATGGCCAGATAAATAGTGTGCCGGATGCATAGAAGCCTTGTTGGTATATTATTATCCTTATAAGTATTATCGAATTTTATATAGTTACCGGTAACTTTTGATATGCGCTATAATAAATTATTATTATTATTATTATTATTATTATTATTATTATTATTATTATTATTATTATTGAACTCAACAATATGTATTTAACGAGACTGTTTGTCGTGATGATCACGTAATTTAAAGTAAGCTTAAATAAAACATTATAACTGTAGAGAAATCTTTTTTTTTTGTCAGCTAAAATCAAAAGTAACTTAGGCCTAAGTCACGCAGAGAATCATTAGTCCCGAATTCTACCATTTAATGATTCGTAGAATAATATAAAAAATCTGTTAAAAAAGCTTGCAAACCAAACTTGAGTCGGAGTTTCGAATTATCCCAGCATAAATTAAAAATAAAACTAAAAGTAAATGTAGTATAAAAAAGAACAGTTTTATGGGGGGGGGGGGCAAAACACAAAACGACAATATAGTAGCCTATAATTTCAAAATAATAATATTTAAAATAATGGAAAAATCAAACCATATGCTCACAGAGTTTAAAACATAGAAAGCAAATAAATCAATAACTTAAACGGATAGCCAACAGAAGAACATACCTTTGCTACTTGTTCCTTCCGGTCTATGAAGACGCGATGTACGTTACGGTAGTAGGAGTGAGTAGTGCAGTAGTAGTAAGAGTAGTGGTAGTAGCAGGCTGGCCTCAAACGGGGTATATGTCTACATGCAACTAAGTGGAAGATTATATTGGTTTTGTTTTTTTTAAAGTACAAAGCCACTTTGCATCAATGCAATGCAACCGTCTAAGACAGGTTAAGACGCAAATCACTATTTCACTATACACTCTGCTGCATTGACATTATTAGCGAATAATATTTTCATTAGTGATGACGTCATGATAGAAAGTCGTCCTTAGATATTACTTTGCGACGGTAAGAATGAATTGAAATTACAGTACACGGGTTTAGTTTTGCGTTCAAACTCCGCTTTCTCCCGCAGGCAACAGTCATAAATATTAATGCAAATTAAGCATAAAACTGGTTAATCTACGATGTACTGATGTTTATTTAGTACCGTAATCCTAAGCAGCTCCATTGTCCTTGCTCCCTACTGAAGATTCTAGTTTTTTTTTAAACGTGTACATTATCATACTTTTATTGAATTCTTCTTGTCTGGTTTTTCAATATTGTGTAATTGCTTTTTACCTTTTCATAACATAAATTAGAGTAGATTTTTAGAGGTAAAAGAGAACAAAGACAGACAAATTAGGTCCTCCATCACAATTATGTACTTGGCAGGATTGTTAAGCCTGCTGCTGCGTGTTTGCTATTATTATCTCCGGTAAAGTTAGTGTTAGAAATACGTTTAAAAATCATTAATAAAGTGCATATACCCTTATTGAAATCAATAAATGTACAGTGGCAAAGTACAGTTATTATGTAGTTTATTCACAAACTTTAAATATTTCAGCGAGTGCGTTTTATAGATGGCGGCAAACAAGATATGGAATAACAGAGTGTTGAGACACGTCTATCGAGATACACTAATTGGCGTTAATTAGACACATTTTACTATTTTATTGCTAGACCATATTTTATTTATTTATTTATTTATTTCCAATTATTTGGTATAAAATACTGAAAATGCAACAAATGTTGAAATACTTTTGAGTTTGCAATAGGAACAAATATCTGTCTCTTATACACATCTAGATGTGTATAAGAGACAGATCATATATATATATATAAAATACCACATCATCACACTATAAACAGCAAACTTTAGGCCTATCAATTCAATATTTACATTAATTAATACTTCATATAGGCCTATCACACAAATTAGTGTCTTATAATAGGCCTATTCGAACACCCGAGAGTAGGTCTAGTAGCAGACAATTTCTAGAACTCTGCATGATTTACCAAAGAAAGCGTAAATTATTTTGATAAAATTTTCTTTTCAGTACAGCACTATGTAGACCTTCATCCTAGAAATCACAAAGTCCATTGTCAATCAATGCTTGTTTTTCTTTCAGCTAATAAATTACTCTGCAATTTGCAATTTCAACAAATCATCGTGTTCGTGCATTCCCATTTGGTTTGATAGACGCAGTTTACAGAAAGTGCATGTTCACGTCAATGATCGTATCAGAAAGTAGTGCGTGTGCGAGTTGAATATGAATCAAATGGAAAGTATACTGTTTGGGTTTAAATGTGACATATTGCTGCTCTTGTCATCATCCAATCAAAATAGCTTACACATTTTCGGCCAGGCATTGCCGTCCAAAATTATGTATTCTAGAACCATCATATCATCATATAAAAAACAAGAATGCCTTTACAAAACTTAATTGTTTTGTCTATGATAATTTTGCTTAGGCCTAAATTATTTACCTCAGTACCATATCCCGAATAACCCATGTAGAGAACGAATAAAGTAGTCCAGGGGCTAGAAGCGGTGCAGGACCGTTTCGGCCGCGGCCGCGATGTATGAAACACGTGGTTGCAGTCAATTCGAATAATTGAATGAATAATAAATATACTAATACTCAATTATAATATAATAAATATTCGTATTGACATAAAAGTAATAGAAAGACACTAGAAAATGCAAAAATAAATGTTTTATTTACCGCAATTCGCCAAAGAGAAGCCTACGCCAGACATACAAAAAACGAGCGTAATTCCAAGTAACGAACTTAAAATTCTCATGGTAACTGGTATCGTAAGCCTATTTAGGCCTAGGCCTATTTGTAGAGCTTTGTCTACATTATCAAATTTCATCAATAAAGCGTCACATAAAATGTGGTGGAAAATAAGAATTGAACATGTTCACATTTTTTTTATACAATTTGATAGTATGTGATATGACGTCATCGTACCATATATGGGCACATCACATTTTTTGTCACATAAAATTTGATAGTGTAGACAAAGCTTAAAGTACGGTAAGTATGTCGATATTTCAATAATAAGACAAAAAAAAAACAACTTAATTTCCTGATTATCTGGATGTTAAATGCATAGCGGCAGAAACAGATGGCATTCATACAAGCACCCCATGCATCCCCTGCTTTATAACTGAGTTTTCAGTTTCTATTTCAGGCCTATGGAGCGCCATTTATGCCCTTTGTGCTGTAAAATATGCATACAATGCTCGAATGGCGCGCCATATTGTTGGAAGGCATGAGTTGAGATTTCAGAGGATGTAAACAAAAGTGCGGCGTGCAACTAACTCTCCAACAGCTGTCTCTTATACACATCTAGATGTGTATAAGAGACAGCTCCTAAGCAGCTCCATTGTCCTTGCTCCCAACTGAAGATTTTGATAGTTTTTTTTTTAAACGTGTACATTATCATACTTTTATTGAATTCTTCTTGTCTGGTTTTTCAATATTGTGTAATTGCTTTTTACCTTTCCATAACATAAATTAGAGTAGATTTTTAGAGGTAAAAGAGGACAAAGACAGAGTGGAACACTTTTTTTGTGTGGAGAACTCTATCTTGTATTTCTAGTATCTTTGGTTGAGATTTCAGAGGATGTAAACAAAAGTGCGGCGTGCAACTAACTCTCCAATAGTGCACCCCAACTTCTTTGACACCAATTATGAGTTAATAGTTTTTCTTTATTTTTACTTTATTTTAAAGTAAGTATTGACTTAATACATTTGTTTAAGCATTAAGCGATGTATTGTTGATATGGTCTTAGCTGGGCTTTAGGCCTAGGCCTAGCTAGCCTATTTTATACACCACTAACTTAGACTAACTAGGCCTAGGAGGTAGGCCTAGGCTAGCGGTGGTAGGTAGTTAAGTAAGTAGGCCTGGCTTTATATAGCTAAGCCCTGCCCACAGTGTAGTCTAACAGATTAGCTGGATGACCAAGGACAACCAAGCCTAGTAGCCTAGGTTAAAAGGCTAATGCCTGCTAGTACAATTTACTAGGCCCTAGTACTATCTAGGCTAGTCTCTAGGCTAGGTCCTAGTCGTAACATAGCCGTAATATAGAATATAAATTGGATTTGACATTTGATTTACCTAGGGCTGGCATTAGTTGCACTAAATGACAATAAACGAGACCAACTCCACTGTATTTTATTTTTGGGGGTATATCACCAGTATGAAAACCTAGGCCTTCTTGGCCAAAAAAGCAGACTGTAAAGCAATGCCTGGGCAGAGAATATATCCTCCGCACAAGGCCTAGAAATCTGTCTACGTATTTCAGAAACTAAGGGACCATTTCTGTGCATATTTTGCCAAAAATTAGACTTTGACCTAACCTTAATATAACCAGTGTATTATGCATTACAAGTAATTATGATTTTGCGCATCTATTTTCCTAGAAATTTTCCAGGAGTGGATCCAGGATTTAAAAGAGGGGGGTTCAAAATGTTATCAAAAAACCCCAAAATGAAAGGGGGTCCTCCCTCGGGAAAATTTTTGATTCCTAAATGGCCGGAAATAAGCTTTCCTGACTTCTAAGGAGGATTCAAGGTTTCTCCCTCTTGAAAAAATTCAGGTAATTTTATCTCATTCTTTAGGCCTATCATAGAGGAAAAAAATAATAGACAGACAATATATTATTATATTCCAACAACATTGAGTTGTTGTTAGATATAGTCTTTCTTCCATGGATCAATGAACCGATAGGCCCAAAGAACGCACTTTCGTACATAAATTATTATTAGGTAGGTTAGCATGGCTTTTGTTAGCCAGGACCCAGTTTTATTTTGTTACGTTTCTTCACAGAGGGGGGGTTCGTCCGAACCCTTTGAACCCCCCCCCCCTTCATCTGCCACTGCTTTCTGTGCAAATTTGTAATATTTTTTGAGGTAATCATCCGCAGAATTAAAATACTTTACAGTATGGGACCATATTTTATGCATAGTTGCATGGGAATCTGCCGGTATTTAAAAAATGCCCAGATAGATTTTTAAGAAATTCTTGATATTGATTAATAATAAAATGTTGATTACTCTATAATGTAAATTTTCATAATTGATTGTTTAAAAGCTTTTAAAAAGCGTTAAAATTTCAGACGTTTGACTTATTTATTTATTTTTCAGATGACATTCCCGCAATTACTTACAAAGTTTTCTTGTGCGTCGGTTGTTGACTGCCAATGGAGACGTCTACTTTCATCACTATGCTTCTCCATGGCAGGTAATGAGGATACAGCACCATCTGCCAATAAGAAGAACATCTTCTCAAAGTCTGGTGTTTTGGATGTCAGTGAAATCGATCGTGATATGCTGATTAAAGTTCTGGTGAACAGTGTGGCCTATGAGAAAGGTATGCTATTACTTTGATGGAACACCATAGAATCGGTTTAGTTTCTTTTGATAATTATCCATTTTATATACTTGGGTTTCCAGAAATGTTTTTGTTGCTATAGAAACAAAGACCACACCCATTGTTACTTCTACAAACTCACAATTCTTGGTCTGCCTCTTCATTATTATCTAAAGGTAAATTAAGTTCTAAATATAGATTGTTATTATCAAAGTACACATTATGTTTTCATCATTTATATACAGTATTGTATTATTAAATTGCTTACGTTTAAATATATTATAATTCAGCACGTAGGCAAGCAGGAGAGCTGGTCTAACAGTACCCAATACTTAGCAATCCTCAGAGAGTTGTATCACCATTGTGTTGTGTTGTTTTTTATCCTGAACACTGAAAAGTCTTATCATACCACTTCAAAATCAGTAAAAATTGGTATATTATGTTTAGTTTGCTATTTTACGTTTTTGGCATTATTTCAATGTAGATGGAATATTGGCTCTATCGAAGCCTGCTGGCCTGCCAGTTTCCGGGAAACGTGTCGATGGACAGCTGTCATTGATGGATGTCTGGGGAGATGTTGCTGATGGTGTCAACAGACCTAATGCTGTTCTTATCAGTGCACCAGAAAAGTAAGAGAAGCTTCAGTAGTGATGTCATAAATGGAGTGGATCTGTAGCTTGGTGGTTAAGATGCTTGTTTTCTAATTCCAGTTTCTTGGGTTCAAATCCTACAACACTAATATTTTTTCTCATTACTAAAGGGAAGGGGGTTTGGCGCAGCGATCTCCATTCAGGTTCTGAATGGAGAGGGTTCGAACCATACGCTGACCATTCTTGGCCGACCATGCTTATTTACCCCAGCTTACACTGTGGACAGGCTGTGAAGTAGCTCCACGCTATGTTACAGCCCTAGGTACAAGTATTTCATGGCTTATAAATTAATTAAATACTTTTCGGCCACCTTTGTATTGTATTGTACCATGTTTGAAGGTGTTATTTCATAATTAGTAATTTACAGTATAACCAATTTAGTTTTTTGATATTTTTTTTTCATCAGAGAAAGTTCTGGCATTGTCCTTTTAGCAGATGACAACATCACAGCAAACAAACTGAGCAGAGATATAGCAGATGCAGGCAAGAGGTCACAGGTCAAAAGGCAATACATGTAGGTCAAGGGTTAGTGATATAATAAGGAGCTTTCGATTGCACGACGACAGTAGGATGTAGAACGTAATGACGTCACTAAAAGTCATCTGTGCATGTAAGAACGTTACGGTCACCTTGTCGAGCAGATTCTACAATGCAATTTGGCCAAATCTACGTATGCAGAGAAAGTAGGACGCCAGGTAGGATGGTCACGCATGAGTGATTCCATTCTAGCGTCGCGTCGTCGCACAAATCGAAAGCTCCCTACTGTTAAGGAAACACTTGAATCATTGGTGCCAATATTGCATATTTTAAATAAATAATATAAAATTTATATTGTAATGTAATAATGAAAAATACATGACATTTTATGTCAAGCATTGACAAAGACTATATTCTTTGCAATAATTTTTATTGTTTCTAAAGTCAAAATTTTACATATCTATCTGATTATTCATTACTCTTTTCATTACACAGCATTATATATGTTTCGAAACACACATAGACAAATCTTCTTCATATATATTTAACCCTTACATCAGAGTTGCATATATGTAATGTATATTCCACATGGTTGATAAGAAGACAAGTGCCATCCAATAAAATGAGAGTGAAAGTTTTCTTCCAGTGTCATTTGTTTATCAAAAACTAGACGCAAGTTTGAATCCCAAATGGGGTAAAATTTTCTCTCCTGATGACATCCCCATCATTAATACCATTTACAATTTTAGAATTACTGTAATGGTTAATTTATATTAATTTTCTTATTTTAGTGCTCTTATAGTTGGTATACCAGAACATCATCAAGGTAGGGAAATTCGTTTAGATATTTACAAGAATCTACATTTGCTTTTGTCGAAACATTTAAAATGTCATCATGCCATCAAAAACGGTTTCTTCATGAGCTAAAACTTTATAAATGTGATTTTTAAATGCAGGGTCACAGAACCTGAATCTTGGACAGGAGATAATAGGTGAAGAGTTGAGGGTAAGATTTAGTGCTCTTATAGTTACAATTTGACAAAGACTATATTCTTTGCAATAATTTTTATTGTTTCTAAAGTCAAAATTTTACATATCTATCTGATTATTCATTACTCTTTTCATTACACAGCATTATATATGTTTCGAAACACACATAGACAAATCTTCTTCATATATATTTAACCCTTACATCAGAGTTGCATATATGTAATGTATATTCCACATGGTTGATAAGAAGACAAGTGCCATCCAATAAAATGAGAGTGAAAGTTTTCTTCCAGTGTCGTTTGTTTATCAAAAACTAGATGCAAGTTTGAATCCCAAATGGGGTAAAATTTTCTCTCCTGATGACATCCCCATCATTAATACCATTTACAATTTTAGAATTACTGTAATGGTTAATTTATATTAATTTTCTTATTTTAGTGCTCTTATAGTTGGTATACCAGAACATCATCAAGGTAGGGAAATTTGTTTAGATATTTACAAGAATCTACATTTGCTTTTGTCGAAACATTTAAAATGTCATCATGCCATCAAAAACGGTTTCTTCATGAGCTAAAACTTTATAAATGTGATTTTTAAATGCAGGGTCACAGAAACTGAATCTTGGACAGGAGATAATAGGTGAAGAGTTAAGGGTAAGATTACCGGTACTTCAAAGTACTTAACTTATATGGCAAAACAATGTGATGATTATTAAATAATAATAATAGCATAATAATAATAATAATAATAATGTTATATTTATATAGCACATATTGCACATTGCCCCTATGCGCTTTACAGAGAAAAAATATAGGCCAACTGAGAAAAAGCAAATAACAATAAAATAAAATAAAAATAATCATAATAACAATAACAATGAGATTAAACTACTCCTATTCCTTAAACTAATTAATGGTTGGCCGTTGACTCCGAGGAGCTCATCCGCTATATATGATATATATATCATTATACTATTATTAAATAATAATAGTATAATGATAATGTATATAATATGTTATTGTATAATATACAATTAAAATGTAATAAAGATATAATGTAATGCTGCGGTCAGCAACCCATGGGTCGTGACCCAAGTCTGGGTCGTGAGTGAATTTTTGAGGGTCGTCAGATCGCAACTATGTCTAAAAAATAAAATGATACAGAAAGTTTTAAGTCTTAAGTGTTAAAATATACACTCTTTAAAATCAGTTCTCATGAAATCATAGAAACAAAACATTAATTAAATAATTTGATGAAATGTTGGCTATTGTCAATTCAATATATGTTAATGTTTGGCTGTTGTCATCCGATTTACCAATTAATGACCTTGATAAAACATGGCGATTCGCACAGCACGGCATTTGTTGAATAGTATTTGTGTTTCAAAATACACAAAAATATTGTGTTTTCATACAACGATGACATAAACTCTTTATAATTTTATTTCATTGACCAAAGAAGGAGTTAAAGTTGAATTAAAACTAATTTATAGGAATAATTTGCAATGCAAATTCTATTTATAATATGAAATCATCAGTAGCATATTTAAAAGTACAATATATGTTCCCAATATTATTTCATGATTCAAGGTTAATCGGAGAAAGAGAGAGGGAGAGAGCAGCTTAACTAAACTGTGTGTGTGCTGAACCGTGATTTTAAAAAGTTTAAATCCGGGTTTGCATAGGAAATAGAGGAAAGAAAACAGGATATCTTTATTATGTTTGCTCTTTTGGAATCTCGATATCGCACCTATTCTTTGCTTAAAAGTTACAGAATTCTAATGTTTGCACTACCTTAAAATTGTTGAATTGTAGAATTTGTAGAATTTGAAATTACCAAAACACATTATAACAAGTTGTTTTATTACTCAGATATTATCTTTGAGCCCAACTCAAAATAGATATTTGGGCCTTTTAAACAAATTAAGGATCAGGGGCCTATTCCGATGTTCACACTAGATTCAGGGAAGAAAATTCTGGTTTGATGTGAAGTTTATTGCTCAAAATGTATCGAAATATAAAGTTTTTAAATGATTCTTAGACTGCTGTAGTTTTTGTAATACAATGAAAACAATTAGGTGTCCCCATAATAAGGGTTCAGTATTTATTTATTTTACCATTTGGCACACCTAGATAAGTGTCCCCGTCCGACAGGGGTGTCTACTTCCTCTTGTTTCACTAAAAAGTGTCAACTAGGGGTGTCCCCTGAATAGGGGTGTCCCAAAGCAGGGGGTTCTACTGTATTACATTGGTCATATATTTTGTGTGATAACTCAAGGTCTTGGGTCGTGGGGAAACTAGGGTACAAAATTATGGGTCCTTGAAGTAAAAGGTTGCCAACCGTAGATGTAATGGATGGTCATAATTTTCAGTTTGAACAATACAAACAACTTAATATAATTTATTTCATAAACTATACAGTATAATTTTATTATAATAATTTTATGTAGGCTGTAATAGATTTACAAATTTTATAAAATGATTCTTATTATTATAATTATTAGTCTAGTAATGCAAATTTGTTATTGTGTTAAATTGCTAATTATCTCCATATTGAATTTTACAGACAGTCATTAAACATGAAGCCACCAAGGGAAGCATCAAGCGACAGGAAACAAAGAATACAAATGTTGATTATAATGTCCTAGATTACAACGTCAAACTAAATAGCGCCCTCATTGAAATGTGGCCACTTAAAGGTAAGCATGTTACCATTCACCGAGAACTATAATATTTCTATTATATTTGCTATTGTTTTATTTTGTCTGTATTTTTCCTAACCTATCTATAAGTATTTTAATTCTTTATTTTGGATTTGCTTGAGTGCACACACTTTAGATAGGTACTTAAACCTCAATAGCACATACAAGTGATAAATTTTCTTCTCACATTTTCACCAAAAACTTTGTTGGTTGAAACTTTCTGACAAAGGTTCTCCAAGCAGCATGATCTTGGCATAGGTCATCTGCTTCATTTATGCCTTTTCCTGATCTTGTGACAATCTTTCTAATTCCGTCCTGCCATCAATATCTCAGCCTCCCTTCTGGTCTTTTTACTTGTGCTTTCTAGTCCTGTTGGCCTATCCTTCTTGAGTCTCTTGTTTTGGGTCATTCATCTTACATGGCCATGATACCTTAATTGATTCCGTTCAATGATCTGATAAATTTTCTTCTTCAACCTAATTCTCCAAACCTATTTTTTTTTGTGCAGCTTACAAGCATCAACTGCAGGTACACACAACATCAATGCTCTGTAGTATATTGGGAGATCATTTATATTCTAACCGTGTCCAGTCAGTTCTTGGAACACCTGTGTTGATTGATCCAAATGAGGCAAGAACTGGACCTCAGGTACTGATTTCATGTCATTGTTAAAACTAAATCTCATTTTCATAATTAGTCTATTTTGTAAAATAGATAGATGTGTCTGAAGCTAGCCATACACTGTCAGATTTTGGTCTGTCAGATTTAGCAGACAATCAGATGCCTGCATTGTCCTACTTTAAAGTTTAGCTGCATCATACAAAACACTATTTAGCAGTATAAAAGGAAAGCCATATCCACATACAAATGTGTTATATTATTGTATTCCCGTATTATATTATTATAATGAGTATTGTTAAGTTTGCCTTAATTGTTTATCATTGTGCCAAATTGTTGAACTCTGGTTTGAACTACTTTATACATCTCATCTTTTGCAGAAATTACCCAAAATGCTTAGAAACGCTATGAATCTTTCTGTGAGTAGAGTTCCCAAGCTTCCTCTGCATCTACACTACAATCAACTGTTTCTCAGGCGACCTGATGGGGATGTCCATGTGACGGCTCCGCATCCCACCTATTTCAAGAGAAGTATGAAGCTACTTGATTTAGAGATGCCAACGTGAGTGGTTTGCCTGGGAGCTCTTCAAATGATCCCCTGCAGTAATGCTGATCTCTATCCAGTGGGTGACTGCATTGGTACTGCAAGGAAATTATGCAGTAGTACAGAATATGTTGGAACATTTCGGAACACGCCGTTAACATGCTGCAGGGGCAGATCCAGACATATCAGAAAGGGAGGCCGAAAGTGGGGCTGGTCGAGATAACAACACCAGGGGAAGCAAGCCCCCGCAAAATTTTGGTGTTCTAGACACCCGAAAATAACCTCTGAGGTGTTTTGGGCAATCAATTTTTTCCCTTCCCAAAAGGGGACTGTGGCTATTAAAATATTAATATTTCAGTAGACACAGAAAAAAATGAGGAAATAAAAGCACAATTATTTTGTAATCTTGTCCTATTGTCGTGGTTCTTGTTGGAAGCTAGAGATTGTAGCTATGGCAGTTGCATTACCAATAAATCGAGAAAATAGTATGATGACCTTTCCTAAAAGTGCACTACTCTGAAACTTCTGTTGACATATGGTGATAATCTCAGTTAAATTGTCTTTGCTTCAACTAGTTTATTTCATTTAGGTTAGATGTGTATAAGAGACAGATATAGAAGAGTGCTTTCCATGCAAAAATAGCTAGTGCTCTCCAACTACGCATGTACAAAAGGTGTGAATGAGTTGCTTATGAAATGTTGCCTTGTAATGCTTTATTTAAATTGTATATAGCAAGAAAGAGGGAAAATGTTCCAACTGGGATTTGTACAGGAGCCTGCTGATGTGAATGGAGTCACCCTAAACAACTTTTCCCCTGTGACATTCGTTGAAAATTTGGATGCTATTGGAGACAATTGATTTCACAGGCGCATGGATACTGTGTACCAACACTGGTACTTGAAACAGAAATTAATGTGGATAGGCCTTCTGCTAAGTATTTGTAATCAAGTATTTTAAGTAACAATCGTTTAGCACTAAGCAGTAATATTTCGCGGGTAATGGGGAAATTAAAGTATATTCAGTATCGGTATATAGCCTAAGTTTTAATCTGAGAAACTTGGTCAATTTTTACTATTCCTTATTCCAAACCCCATTCTGAGAAACTTGGTCAATTTTTATTTATTCCTTATTCAAAACCCCATTCTAGGAATAAATTTTGCTTCAATTATCAATGACAAAATACGAAATATTTGGGGGCAGAAAGTTTGTTGATTCTTATTTTTCGTTTGTTTTTATGATTTTACCTTGAAATATACACACGCTCTTTAAATAACTAGAAATCACTTGAAATTATGTTTTGTGGATACATAATACAGTAATAGATCTATCGAATTTTCACAAGCTAAACGATTTTTGGGTGGGGGAGGGGGGTGGGGAAACAGGCACGTTTAGACGTAAAACCTTTAAGTACTACTGTACCTGTTATTAATATTAAGGAGACATCATTCTGTGCATGAAAAATAAGTTTCATGTTACAGGAGTTTATGTCACTTGTCAGTTTGTGCACACAATAACAATAAACCAAGTTTACTTTAAAATAAAGGAAATCGTCTTTCACACAAATTTACTAAAAAACCCTATCAAAATCGCTTGGTGGCGCTGTGCTGGTGATTAAAATTTGGTTCCAATCGGCGGTCGTCGAATATGAGTGATGTAACATTGTTTAAATACATTCAGTTTGCATAAAAAGGGTATTTTTAACATTAGGCATATTTATTCATATTCATCTATGATATGTGTGTAGTTTATTTCATTTAGGTTTTCTATTATATCGCCTAGGCCTAGAGGCCAGAGGAGTAGGCCTAGGTGGGTAGCCTACTACTGTCCGAAGTGACAGACGACAGGGGAACGATCGGCACATGGCTGTGCTGGCCCTTCAAATAGACGCTCGGACCCATTATGGGCCCACTTTCATGATGATCGGACCATTTTTTTCTAGGCCCTAGGTCTAAACTTTGACATCGATAGCTCAATTCTCCTGGTTTGAAAGCTACAAGCCTGTATTGTATGACATTCTTTGATTTTGTTGGAATGGGTAAAACTAAAACCAAAAGTAGGCCTCTCTAGGTCTATGGCTAGGCCCTAGCTTAGTAGGGAGACATATGCATTGTAGTGCTCTACAAAAAGTTACTTCTTCTACGCATTCAATCAACTTGGTCTTCTGGTGGGATGTTATGCCCGCAAGGAAAACATTTGGTACATTATTTGCAAATTGGTGTCCTGACAAATTTTTTTCTGTCATGTAATGCACATGCAATACACATGCAATAACAATAATATTGAGTGTATATGATTTATGCTTATCAAAGATTCTAATGGTAATGTCTTCTCTTTCTATAGCCAGTGATGAAAGCAAAGTCGTAGGGGAATACCTCTCAAAATGGCAATCTGAGTGACAATTGAATACTTGCCATTTGGTTTCTAAGTTCCACATCTTGTAAAACGTATAGTACAAATGGAGAACTTAATGGTGCAGTTACTCCCAGTTGCTAGTGAAGATGGAGACTTATCCAAGCCACCCTCAAGCGCTGAAGAGTACTTACGAAGAGTAAGGTAAATTATTATTTTTATTTATATTTCAACAACAAAACAGAGTAGGCCTATGGGAGTACTAAGTTGCCTTGGCAATAGTTGCCTATGGGAGCACTAAGTTGCCTTGGCAATAGTTGACCATTGATCTTGATCTTCAACATATACTTGTACATGAGCACTACAAGATGGCTCATTGGTATGGATACATTGCTATTGATTATTGATTATCTGTATTATTATTTGTTGTGTTTTTTGTTGACAGACTGGAAGCCCAAGCTTGTCCAGACATCGCTGTGGCAAATACCAAACCTGACATTTTCAAAAATAAACAGACGAGAGTTATATCTAGTGTAAGTAGCCCAACAGTACGAAAAATCATTTTTGTGATTTAATTAATTTGCTATTAAAATGAACCATGGTCACATTATACTCCCCACTAGCTGCATTCCATCTTATTGTTATCTGTAAGCTATGCTTGATTTTATTGTTTACAAAGCCTGTCTATTCATAGGTGTGAGCTGGAAGTGTGGAGTGCCGATGCACCTTTCCCCCATGGCGGCAACATTTTTTTTTTTTCGCACCCTAACCCCCAGGCTGAAACTAGTCTATGCCCCTGCTGTTTGTCCACCAACTCAAAAACTATTTTAATCTGTCACTGGATAACACTAGCGTGCATTTTGATACTTGGAGTATGTATTACACTACCTTAATCAGTGGACCTTTCGGATAACACTAGAACATTTGATTAATTTTGTTTATTTTGCTTGTTTTGCAGTCATCAGGTTGTATCCCTGCTCCAAAGGGGTTTTCACCAAGTGTGCACTGGCAGCTGAAGGAAGCATCTAATTTTGCGATACTCCGACAGAAAATCAATCAACAAAGGGAGAAATTAATCAACAATGTCAAAGAAAATCAACCAACATTAGTTAGTATAATATTGATCCAATCATCATCGTCATATTATAAATTACTTGTTGGATTGGATAGGATTTATTCGGTGTAAACACCAAGGATGGCCCACGAAAGCCTGAAGAAGACGTATTTTCAGTGGAGTTCTTCTGGTGGTGATTGGGAAGTACACCGGGAGACAATCCCCTACTCTTTTCCAAATAGTGTACTGCGTTCTTTAACGTGCACATGGGCCATCAATTCACACGGGACCAACGGCTTAAACATCCCATCCGAAAGATGGTGCAGTGTTATAACTTGTATTTCAGCCCTCCAGCTGAAATACAAGGAAAGGCAGCGATGGGAATTGAACCGGGGACCTAGATATCTTCATGGTTCAGCAGACACACAGTGGCTACCACCAGATTAGCCGACTGAGCTAAGCTGCTCTCTCTCTTTAGTTAATGTACCACTCTGTTAGCATTGGGCAAAGCTCCTAATAACATCATAAATACAATATGTTGGATTGTTTATCATATTTTTGTCATTTTTATAATTAACCATCACCACCAAATCCATTTTATTTTATTTAGCCTAATCCAGATAATGAAGGTGGCTGGTGTAAACTGTGTCTTGGAGAAGAAGCCCACCAACTTCTGAATGTAAAGCGTGGCATTCCTAATGCATCAATGGATGCTAGCATAGGTTCAACAAGTGGGGTCAGATACGGCATCCCACCACTCTTAAGCATGGTAGCAGCAATGAAACAGGTAATTTCTTTTTGTTGTCTAATACGTTGACCGCCGAGCCTTTTTTTTTGTTCCATCCCATACACCATGGCATAAAGGGCGCCACCATAATTAAATCATTACTATCAACTGTAGTGAAACACGAATAAGGGGGCCTCCCAATCAGCACCCCCATTTCAAGACTACCAGATGCGCCACTTCCTTTCATGAACTCTGGTGGGAGAGTTCCATTCTGGTGACCACTGCCACCTAGTACTTGCAATACAATAGTGGTATGTTTAGACAGGTGTGGACATGAACTCGCGTCCTTGGTGACCTGCGTGAACCCTGTAGGATGTGATTAAACAACATTTAAAGGGATATAAAGCAGTAATTTAGCAATAATGAAGTGTTCTCTATTTTAAAAGCATTAAGGTTATAAATAATAGTCACAATTGCCTCCAAATGTTGAACACAGTTTGTATTTTTTTTTTACGTATTATATGTCATTACCACCATATTCAGAAGCCAGATCTATATATTTGTTAATGAAATTTTTTAAATATTTTTTTTTTATAGAGTACTGTTACGCAAGTCCTTGATTTCCAAATTGGTTGGCTTCAGACACTAGGCTTAAGTCCCAATCAAGGCCAGTGGCTGTATGCCCTGTTGGCATGCCTGCAGAAGCCACTAGAACCAAATGCGCATTCAATGCTTCGTACGCTAGCACGGCAGTGTGCGGCTCTCAGGGCCTCCTTGGTGAGTACATTGTTAATATATTGTACTGGTATCGCATTGTGTTTGTATATCACATAATATATGTGTTTTGATATGGTTTAGAAAACGGTGTAAATCTTTATCCAGACTATTTATCTTTGACAGAAATACTGATGTACTGTATGCCCATACTGATGTGCCTATTTATGGTCATGATGTAATGTCATCATGACCAAAAAATATATATAATTTGAGAGTCTGGACAGGGCTTTAGAATTTTCATTTGATTGGTTGAAGAATTTCAGAAGTTTTTGATTGTTATATTGAAATAAGGTAGACATTGGCTTAACAATGTCTAATAAAATAGCGCCCTCAATACTTCGCAATGTTATGGATATTTTAAAACTGAATTTGTTTGAAAATGTTAATTTATATAGATCCATAGTCATTTGCTTATGGTGAAAGAGCCTAAGTAAGGAGGCTGTACATCATTGTATCAAGTTTTTGATTGTTATATTGAAATATAATATTGGATTGACAATGGCTAATAAAATAGCGCCCTCTATACTTTGCAACATTATTGATAATTTTAAAACTGAATTGGTTTGAAAATGTAGATCCATAATCACTTGACAATTTCTCATGCTCTACCTTAATGTATCAATCAATTAACCATTAACACTCTGACCGCCAGAGGTTTGAAAAAGTAGTATCAGCAACCGCCAGACTTTTTGGCAAATTTTAACACTTTTCTGAAGTTGAGAGTTTGTATGGGATTAGATTGGCATGTAGTGAATATTTCAAGAACTAAAAACAATGGTACCAACCACTTTATTCTAATCACAATCTGTGACTCGTAACAGTAAAATGAAAATGACTCACTTCTGGACGTTTACACAATTTTTCACAACGAAGCTTAGATAATCGCGATTATGTAAATCACCACCGCTCTCTACGCTAATGTAAATAGTGAAATGCTTACGGTCCAGACTGAATATAGTATTCAAATTATAAGTACATGTCTGTAATTACCCCATCGATCGGATTCCGTAAAAAAACCTGAAACACGGAGATCTCCGTGTTTGGCGGTCAAGCGTTGCTTTACCAAACACCAAATAATTAATTGATCAATCAGTTAATCAACAAATCAATCAATCAAGGAATCAGCATCTGTTTTGATTAATAATGTCTTTTTATATGTTCAGGATTCAATTGATGATGACAGACTTCCGGCATTAAATCTTTTAATAACCTTGGTTGCAAGGTATTTTGACCAATCAGATCTGGCCGATAATGGATGAAAGAAATATGAAGACGTCAATTTATGAATTGTGTCAGAAAGTGAATAGCACCACCTACCATTCAAGAGTATTATTTACTATGAGAGTAATGATGTTTGTAAGCAGAATTTGACTTTATAGCTTTGTACACTAATTATATCATTGATTGAAATGCTTAATGGAGGTGTACTTGACAAATAGTCGATCACTGTCCATGGACAATAGTACTTGTCTTACAGGGTATGTTGTAGATAGGACAGTGACGAGTATACCCGCAGATACGCTATTCTTTTGTATTGTGTATTATAATGTTCCGCACGCTGCTACAACTGCACTAACACGTCAATGGCAGCCCCGTAAGATTTGTAATAATCTAAAAATATATTTTAATTGGTTATGTTGGCACCTCTTTAGAGTTTGTCATGGGGAAGGGGAATAACTTTGTCCTACATGGTAAGGCAGTGAACATGTTTATTTATATTTAATAATTGGTTTAGGCTGAAAGCCAAGGATATGCCCAACAGCGAACATAATCACTTTTCTAAGTGGCATATCCCTTCACAAGACACACATAAACACACAATGCTCTACATAAGGTAAATCTCATTATGAGGCTTAGGGTTTGGTGTTGTTTTGGTCATGAGAAAAAAAAAATCCTGTTACCGTGATAGGAATTGAACCTTGTCACGGCAACAAGGTTTTTTTTCACGATCAAAACAACTCCACTCCCTGAGCTTCATAATGAGGCTCTACAATTTTTTTTTTTAATGTAGCTTGTGTAAAGTTGTATACATCCATTGTGGAGTCCCAATAACTTTCATGATTTCAAAGCAATTAGATATATTGGTTTGTAGTAAAAAAAAAAAACCAAAATATTTAATTGCTCTATTCCAATGGGACACAGAAAACAAAGGTTTTGCAGATAAATATTTTAATTTAGACGCCTGCGTTTCATTGGTGAGAATATGTTTTCTCGTTCTAATTTTGATTACAATTTCAAAAAAATTACCAAAATAAACTAATGTGGGCAAATAAAATATTAAATATAATTGTTCATATAGATTATTAGGTTAACAGAATCATATTTTTATATGAAAGGCCTGTATATATATCACTTGACCATGGAAAAACTTTATACATCCAAAAATGGAAATTAAAGCACTTGTAAAAACTCATCTTAACTTTTTAATTATTGTAAGTTAGTTTTGTTGACAGTGTTTTTTCATTAAGTTACATATGTCACACCCTCTAAAGGTGCATTTAAACCGAATCCAAATTTTCGGATCGGGAAGCCCACCAAAGCGATCAGAAAATCGAATTAGGCTACGCTCAGACCTGAGAGATACGCCAGGCGTATTTAATGCCTAACGTATGTTAATCCATGGTGGAACTAGTCCAGACTGGACAATTAACGTTACGATATTCGTAAATGCGCATTTTATCTCCTATTTACATATAGGCTTGTGATTGGTCAAATACTGGCCATGTTCAAAATCATTGATGCATGACTGTCATAAGTGCTGTATGCTAAACTGGGGTCTGGTGGATTATTGCGCGTTAATGCTGGTGTTCGCTACGCCACGCACAACTTCACACCGATCAATTAATGTTATGCTGGCGTAACTCATGTCTGAACAGCTGAACAGAGACTGAGTGTGTAAGAATATGGATGCTAGCGTAATGTACTTTGGAAACGCGATCTGAATGTCGGTTCGGATCTGATGTGAATACAGCCTAAAGCCGGTTTACCACTTGCAAATTTATTCGCGCAAGTCGAACGCATCTGTTCATGCGAATGCGCATTCCCATTTCTATCAGATTTTTCGCTTCAGCGAATCGGTAGTTCAAACAGTTTTAACTTTCTTGCGAAGCGAAAAAGTGTGCAACCAATCAGAGTTCAGGAACCAAACCGACACTTAAATTTGCCTAGTGGAAAACAGACTTGAGTCTTAAATGTTTACGTGGCTAATTAACTATAATAATTGTATGCTTTCTTGGCACCATGTGGCATATCATACAAATATCAATTGATGGTACAGTACTAGTATTTTGGTGCTGAGAAGGACCGTTCAGATTGTAATGTCCCAACGTTTCGATTGGTATATTCTAACATTCTTCTTTGTCTAACCGTCTTCCTTCAAGTGTTCCTTTAGCATCGTTCTGATGGTTCTTGTTGATGCGTCATATAAGTTCATTTACATGGATTTTAGGACAAACTGTAGGGTGTCCGAGTGAGGAATATATGTAATTAGTGGTTTCTCAATAATTGCTTGCAAAAATACAACACACAGGGGTTCCTGAACTTCGTGAACTTTCAGGTACAGATATCAAACGTTACATAATCATACCTCCGTTCACATCATAATTCTTCTCTGTATAAATTTCCCCTGTATATTGTCTCAATAAAAAAAAAATAATGAAAAAAAAGAGATTCCTTGGGATTTGAACATGGGGCCGGTAGTGTGAAAAACACTCTTCTACTGTACCTCTATATGGAAAACAGTTATACAAGTTTTTCGATCATTGTGTCCTTGACCCTGACCCTTCAAAATTTAGTCACTTCCAGATCTTTGGTAAAGGAACATTGTGGCCATTTTGACAAATTTCTGATAAAAACTGTTTAAAAAAAAATCGTTTTTTTGTTGATTGTGACCTTGACCTGTAACAACCCTTACCCTTAAAAATTCAAATGAAACATTGTGACCAAGTTTGTCATTAATACTATGGGCTGTAAGACAAATAAATTTAAAAAAATAATTTTACGTTGATTTTGACCTTTGACCCTGACCCTTAAAAATTTAATCAGCTCTAGATCTTAGGTAAAGCAACATTGTAGCCAAGTTTGATGAATTTCTGATAATGCGGGCTCTAAAAAAAAAATAAGTAATCGAAACAACTGATCAATCAAAACAGGTCCATGAATATGCGTTTGTCTCACAAACGCAAGTTCTTTCTCCAACGCACATTTTTGCGTACGTTGTGGCTGTCTTTTTGTGGGACATTAGCAATTATATCCGAGGGGCGGGGCTTAACGGAACGTGTTATTTCGTCACAGGGCTTTTTTACGTAAAGTTCTTTGTAAATTCGGTGTTTTAGGCTGAATCACTTGCCCTGGGAGCCGAATTCACTATGGATTTAGGCTGTGATACAGCGAGAACGCCTTTGGGGAAAAAACAAATTTTGTAGTGCCTTCTCGAGGGCTTGGGAACTACCGTGAAATTTCTCTATGGATTATACAGCACAAATACAAATAATTGGTGTCATGTTATTATCCGGATATGTTTCCTGAGTGTCTTTGTTCTTATTCAATCAACACCCTAAATATATCGGGGATTTCCCTTATTTACTCACAGTTGAACTAGTTTATTGCGAGTGTTCCAGAAGGGACTCATGAAAGCAAATCCCTCCCAAACCGGCCCAAATTATAGAGATGCTATTTATTGTTGACGACAGAAACAACGCCCCACCATGATTGGTGGAAAACTTTTTTTTTTAACCTGGATGCCCGGAAATATATACTTTAAAACTTAACTATAGACTATAGAGCCGCTACTTCCGCACCCCCTCAAAAGCCTGCAACAATATTTAGCAAGTGGATAGACACTATACCCACTTGCCTCAGCCCCACCTTGGTTTTCAGTGGTAGAATTCTCGCCTGCCACGCAGGGGACCCGGGTTCAATTCCCGGCCGATGCATATCTTGTTTTACACAAAGTATCTTCTGTGTGGATGTTGTTTTTGAGAACAAGACAAAAATCTGTCTCTTATACACCGAGTGGCGGTCCCAAGTAAAGTTGGGGGGTCCATGTGAAGTGTTGCCCCGGGGTCCTTACTGGCTCTCGACGCCACTGCCTGCCACGTGGAGGACCCGGGTTCACTTTTTACTTAGTTTTACACAAACTGTCGTGTCTTGGTGTTCTTTTTCGAGAACATTAACAACAATTACAAGAGAAACATTGCATTTGAGTTTATAGTGAATGTACAGCATCGGTGGTTCAGTGGTAAAATTCTCCCCTGCCACACGGGGGACCCGGGCGCAATTCCCGGCCGATGTACATTTTTTACACAAACTATCTTGTCTGTTGATGTTCTTTTCGAGATCATGTCAACAATTACAAGAAAAACATTACATTTGAGGTTATAGTATATATACAATATCGGTGGTTCAGTGGTAGAATTCTCGCCCGCCACGCGGGGGACCCGGGCACAATTCCCGGCAGATGCACATTTTTGTAAACAAATTATCTTGTCTGTTAATGTTTTCTTCGAGATCATGTCAACAATTTCAAGAAAAACATTACATTTGAGGTTATTGTACAGCATCGGTGGTTCAGTGGTAAAATTCTCGCCTGCCACACAGGGGACGCGGGTTCAATTCCCGGCCAATGCATACTTAATTTTACACAAACTGTCGTGTTTGTTGATGTTCTCTTTGCGAACATTAACAACAATTACAAGAGAAACATTGCATTTTGAGTTTTTAGTGAATGTACAGCATCGGTGGCTCAGTAGTAGAATTCTCGCCTGTCACGCGGGTGACCCAGGTTTAATTCCCGGCCGATGCATACTTACTTTTACACAAAGTGTCCTGTCTGTTAATGATCTGTTTCCTGAGAACAATAACTACAATTTACAAGAGAAACATTGCATTTGAAGTTATAGTGAATATGCAGCATCGGTGGTTCAGTGGTAGAATTCTCGCCTGCCACGCGGGGGACCCGGGTTCAATTCCCGGCCGATGCATATCTTGTTTTACACAAAGTATCTTCTGTGTGGATGTTCTTTTCGAGAACAAGACAAAAATTACAAGAGAAACATTTCATTTGAGTTTATTGTGGATACAGCATCGGTGGTTCAGTGGTAGAATTCTCGCCTGCCACGCGGGGGACCCGGGTTCAATTGCCGGCCGATGCATACTTAGATTTACACAAACTGTCGTGTTTGTTGATGTTCTTTTCGAGAATTTTACACAAAATAATATCTGTATGCCTACAGCATTGGTGGCTCAGGGGTAGAATTCTCGCCTGCTACGCAGGGGACTCGAGTTCAATTCCCGACTGATGCATATTTTGTTTAACATTACACAAAGTATCTTCTGTGTGGATGTTGTTTTCGAGAACAAGACAAAAATTACAAGAGAAACATTACGTTTGAGGTTATAATATAGCGTATACTCAATTATAATATATACTCAATTATAATATATACTCAATTTTACACAAACTGTCTTGTTTGTTGATGTTCTTTTCGAAAACATTAACAACAATTACAAGAGAAACATTGCATTTGAGTTTATAGTGAATATACAGCATCGGTGGTTCAGTGGTAGAATTCTCGCCTGCCACGCAGGGGACCCGGGTTCAATTCCCGGCCGATGCATACATTTTACACAAACTGTCGTGTTTGTTGATGTTCTCTTCGAGAACATTAACAACAATTACAAGAGAAACATTGCATTTTAGTTTTTAGTGAATGTACAGCATCGGTGGTTCAGTGGTAGAATTCTCGCCTGCCATGCGGGGGACCCGGGTTCAATTCCCGGCCGATGCATATCTTGTTTTACACAAAGTATCTTCTGTGTGGATGTTCTTTTCGAGAACAAGACAAGAATTACAAGAGAAACATTTCATTTGAGTTTATTGTGGATACAGCATCGGTGGTTCAGTGGTAGAATTCTCCCCTGCCACGCGGGGACCCGGGTACAGTTCCCGGCCGATGCATACTTAGTTTTACACAAACTGTCGTGTTTGTTGATGTTCTCTTCGAGAACATTAACAACAATTACAAGAGAAACATTGCATTTGAGTTT